TAATTCGTTTCTCTATAGAGGAAACAATCAGCCTTATTATAGAGCTCTTAGTAGAATAGAAGTAAAGGCCTTGTTGTTGTGAATGATGTAGGATAATGCCTCGGCTTTTATCTTTCAAACAACATTTCCTGACCTCAGAGGTTATCCTGCAACATTCACGAAAATGCAAACTTTATTTCTTAAGTATGAAAAATTATTGTAATAAAACACCGATCTCTACCCAGAGTTAAATAGTTCCACTTATACCCCTGTCAACGTCTAAAAAGTAGTACGGAAGCGGAGGGACGTGATTTCTTTTCAAATGTTGTTTAAAATTGTCCACAAGAAGATTAACACATTTACATTTCTGTATATGTATTAATGCTGCAAGTTATTTGTCTATAAAAACTAAATCATATTGATATTTATCGGCAATGCATTTTAAATTTTCCACGTTGGTAATATCCTGCCGAGAAATAATCCCCTATAGGATATGGTGAAAAAGCGATATCTGATTCGAATTCTCATTAATAAACTTTTATTTAACATGTTAAAGAAGAATATAGAAGTTTTACATTCATAATTTACGATGCAGTAGGTGAAAGTAAGATTTGCCAAGAATCTTGGCATTTAGATGTTGACAGAGGTGTTGTAGTGAAGTGAACGATAACTCTGGGAAGAGATTGATAAAACACATCAACTTCAACAAAAATGCTGATAATGAATTCATGCTTACAGCAAAGTGATTTTCACTCCTTGTAGTTGTAAAATGTACGTTTTATGAAATTATTGCGTAGAACTCTAAATGTAATGAATTATGTTTTATAAAAAGCCAATATTGTTTTTCCTCTGAATTGCTATTCTAAGCATGTTTTACTTTATACTTATTATTAAACCCCCCTTCCTTGATAGTGGAGGTGTATAGTCATGGGGGTGTCCTAATTATAATGTACTTTTGTCCATCTGTTTAGGTTTGGGGTACCCATCTTTTCTCTGCTATTCCTGTTTATACTGTTGAATAAAATGTAATGAGACTTCACAGAATCTTTCTTACATAGTGCCATTGTAACTACCTGATCTATTCTCCTAAATAAATACACATTCATCTTATTTTGTCAAAATTACATACTGGTTATATGGAAAACTCATCACGTTTAACAACAATGTAAAATTTTGTAGGTGCGACGGAAAGCCCTGCAGCAGCTGATTCAGAGAGAGATGGACATGTATGAACAGGAACTCAGTCTGCAGGGCAAAACTTTCTTCAAACAAAGGATATGAACCTCTCAGCTTTTTCAGGATGTTGGAAGTGAGATTTTGTGTATAAATGTAAAAAATGTGAACCTTTGAGTGAATGATAAATTTGTATGGAAATTGTTATTGAAAATATCCAGCATTAGACATCTTTCTCAATTTATTCTGGTTTAGATATTTTTACTTTAAATTGTACTTGTGTTCACACAGACTTTGTGATACTGCTGCTGGTAAAAGTACTCTTTCTGAGTTTTATATATACATATTATATACATTATAATACGTGCCTTATAAACTTTTATAAGTTAGTTTGATAAAATCAACCTGTGGCGTAAAATTCATAGCAAAAATGTTCTGCATAAATGAAATAATTTTACAGATGTTTTAAACTGACTGTATTAAGTGTAATGAAAGTCTGTTGGTCAGTTTCATCTTTACTGTGTATGTACTATTAAATACTTTATCTTCTTTTGTTACAAGTATTTCATATTCATATGATACAAATAGTAAAAAATTAAAATGAAAGTTTTGAAATGTAGAATTAATGGATAACTGGTATTAAAGAATTATTCTTTGTATAAAATATATTGTTTGTGAATAAAAGTAACTTTGGAAAGAATTATTTCTGCTCATTTAATAAATATACCTCAGAGGGAAAAATCATTTTTGTAAAAGCATAATTTGTTTTTTTTGACCGATCTGGTCAGAAGAGAAAGTTTAGATACCTAAGCAGACACAAGATGGTGTGTATATTTAGCTTATAGTTCACTGTCATTGTCAAAAAAGCAGACCTGCCAAGGAGTAAACAAGAAAATCGGTCACTGTGCATTATACCTCAAAGAAATTTAGTGCTTCTAATATCAAGTTCACCAGATAAAACACTGCTATGTCATCAGTCAGCCATCTATAAACCAATAAAATTAACTTCTGTTTTAAATACTGTACAGGGGGAAAATAACTCGCGGTGTTAATATTCGCTATATTCACGGTGTCAATGAATCCGTGAATTCAAGAAACAGTGAATAAGTTTTCAATAGGTATAGATAAGAGAGGAAACTTTTATTATATATCAATTCCGCGAATTCAAGAAACCGTGATTGTGTCAGAGAAGAGAAAAACATGAAAATTACAACCCGTGAAATTAATCCCCTATACAGTAAATTATCTTGATCTTAACTGTAGGCGTATTGGTAGTGAATCTTGCCTTGATTGTGTGACTAGGTTTTCTATTGTGACGTTTACTGATGTTTTTTGGTATCTTTATGCCACAAAAAGTCACATCTGCTGTTTAAAATCAATATAATTGTGAGAAAAATTTACAGTAACTGGTCAATGGTGAAAATTAGAGGACCGTCAATATTTTTCAGAGGAGCTTATATCGATTATGTTGACTGTTTTTCTACAAAGAGAATATACCTGGGACTAATTTTTACCGACTATAACATGTAGAATTATATGTATCAAAGTATAGTCTTCTTGTGTGCCAAATTGTATTGACATCAGATCAATACTGTCGGAGGAGTAGTGTTTTGAAAGTATTTCACAAAAATTTTTATTTTTTTTTAATCATGGCAACACCGTTCATCAATATTTAAAACCAATAAGTAGAATTATTTATCTATTTGTAGACTACTTGTGTGCCAAGTTTTATTGAAATCAGACCAAAACTGTAGGAGGAGTAGCATTTTGAAAGCATTTCACAGAAATTTCTATTTTTGGTATCCATGGCAACACCGTTCATCGAAATCAAAAACTGATGCACAGAATTATGTATCTTAGTATAGTCTACTTGTGTGCCAAGTTATACTGAAATCAGACCAAAACTGTAAGAGGAGTGTTTTTAAAAATTGTTTACAGACAGACGGACAGCTAGCTGGACACCTTACTATATAAGCTCTAACCTGAAGAGCTAAAAGAGAAAAGAAAAAGTGAATTAAAATAGCATTTATTTAATGAATAAAACAAACATTAATACAGCTCACCTACATCAATTAGTTTAAAAACTGGCCCAAACACATTAAGCATTTCAAAGGTAAATGATTTAATAAATTTTAAATTGATTGTATAGTTATTGTGAACAAAAAACACTGAAATGATTTAATAAAGTTTACATAGTTTGTTTATAGTTATTGTGAACAAAACACACAGGCACCTGGCATGACATTTTTCTTCTAAAAAAATAATAACCCCATACTTTATAATAAATTAGTACTAGGTACAGGGTTAATTTTTTTTATATAAGAAAAATAAGTAATGTCAGGTGCCTGTGACAAAATACTAGTTAATAATCATATGACAAAAGTTACTAGAATTTAGTGTAATTTAAAATTTTCAATGTACACTTCAAAAACAAACATGTCATAAAAAAACCTTACAAGTAAATGCCTTACGAATTTTTTGTCATCCAACAGGATTTCAGATCTATTTGAAGAATACTGTTTTAAAGATTATTTTTATTTTTTGTATATTCCCAGTAAATGCTTTAAATACTTGTGTAAAATAATACAGTTTGATGTTCTTCTCAACATTACTACATGACAAGAACTACAATTAATGATTTTGTAATCAGATTAAAGCACCTCTAATTGGAGACTGATCTGTTAAAACTAGCCTAGGCTAACTAACACTGCTCAGCATCCTGCGTATTTAACTTAATCTTAAAAGACACGTGAACAGGGATAAAATTTCAGTTGCCTTCAAAATTGCACATAAAGGATACATAATGATGATACACTAATTATCAAAATAAAATAAATAAAATAAAATATTTTATTTATTTGACAAGTATTGGCAAAAAGTGAAGTCCATTTAGATGTAATAAGGTTTGTATGTAAGATTGCACCAGTATCATCACTCATGGACATGGGGTATCTACAATTGCAATTTCATAAGCACCAAGTATGCAAAAATCAGATGCCTTTACTGCTAATTAAGAATCAAACATCAACCCTTGGTCTTTTGATAAAAAATGCACAGCGATTCAAGTTCTTTTTCACAAAGATGCATAGGTAGAACAATTCTAGTTAATATAAACCGTAATCCATGTACAAGTATAAAAGTGCCAAGAAACCCTATAAATTAGACTCCTTCACTACTTATAAATAACAGATCAATGGAGCACTGAAAATTCCCTAATAAAAGTAAGAAATTTCATGCAATTTCAAAGGGAGTTCCACTACTCCCATAATTTTTATGTAGCTGAAATTAATGTAAAATCTCTTAATCATGCAATATTCTACTTGCTAATTACAGGGGCAATATTCTCTTGACTTGACATGTACATCTCTTTGCATGATAACTTCTAGTGTAAAATAAGGTGACTGTTTAAAAATCTACATGAATCCCTCTCTATGACACAACAATTCAGATAACTGGAGTTAAACTGCTGCTGCCATTAAATACAATGTCACAAAAATACAGAAGCACATTTACAGTAAACCTTGGACAAAAATTACCACAGAATCAAATTAAATAGAAAATCAAAATCAAAACTGGTCAGGAAAAATCAAAATTATTGTGTGCAATCACCTACAAAAAAGGTATCCACAGCTAGATCTAGGCTACTGAAGCCTTTTATGTGATTTACCCAGTTTAATATTGCCCATTCCCCAAAGAGCAAGCTTATGGCAGTATCATTTGCATGTACATACTTATATTCATATAGCTTACTGTATTGTTTATATAGTAAGACACAAACTATAATCTATCTAATTCTGTCTGACTGACATATTAATCTAAAACATAAACTGAATTCTAGCTAGTTTCTGTTAACTTTGTTAAATGCTTAGTCCTATATTACATCAGTACAACACCAAAGTGAGACTTCACACTCAAATAATACAGGAGTCAAAAACATATGAATGATTTTCAACTCTAACATTACTTGTAAACACAGTACTTCTATCACACTGGATGAATAAAAAAATCTTCAGTGCACTAATTATACACTAAAAACAAAAAGAAAATCAAATCAAACTGCTACTACAAGAGTTGTAACTATATTTTGATTGAAGTCTACCATACTACTCCTATCACAGATGAGTCGTCTCCCTTTGTAATCCTGGTCTCTGAAATTTTGTCCATTTTTTTTTCCATTTATGGTCGATTACAAATCTGCTTCTCTGACTAGAGTAGTCTTGGATATGAGAAGCTCTGTAATTCAGTATTTTATTGGGTATGACTGAGGTAAGATTTGACACATCTGAATGCTGAGTACAGTCCCTCAGTACATACACTGTAGACATCTCACTGATCCAAGCATTGGATTTAAAAAGTTCATCTCTTTAGAGAAAACTCAGTACACATAGGATCATACAATGATTCAGCTCTCATCTCACAATGATTTAGGTAATGATGAGGGCAAACCTCTGCTTTCACATGGCAAATGTTGTAATGTTCCAGCAGAGAGAGAACACGGATATGGAAATAAATAAATTAAGTGGATGTGTTATGAAGTTTTTCAATCATTTATGCGATCATTCCATGTCGAGTTAATTACATGGTCAACACAAGGATGGAAATTTTCGGGGAAGTGTGGGAATCCCTAAAAATTCACTAGGCTTATCTATATCTAACAGATGTATTCAGATTTCATACAAGGAAATCTTAAGATTTTTATATCCACTGTTATCCAAAGTATAAAGATGAAGTCTGTTTCTTCTTTCATCTGCAATCAAAATAAACATTTTATTTAGAATTTTGGTAGCAATAAACTTCTATGTTTCTCTACAATTCTATGGAGAGAAGCCTAGCAAAATGGACAGGTTGATTTCAGTATAAATCCTTTATGATGATACTTACCATGTCAGCAGCCAGAGCAGCGATATCTCTTGATCCGGTCAAATTCCTCACACCATTCTGTAAACCTGGCCTTCCATGCCATCTCCATGTCATCCTTATCTAAAAGTAGATTAGTGGCAACATGCATCAATTAATGTTGGAGGAAAATGAATAAAATCACATCTATTATAAAAAAAGAACCTTTTAACACAGATTTTGTTCCTTTATTTGATACTTTTTTTATTCAATTATTAAAGGGTTTTTTTTACTCTCAAATACAAGTTTTTAGTGAGATGCAAAGAACTGTGAATGATATGGCATTGTTCTGTGTACTACCTCCAAGTCAATTGTTTAAACATTAACATATTACAATGATTCTTCATATATTTGTAGGCATTACGTGAATTTTTAATTAATTTATTTTGGAGAACAAAGAGATATAATTTTATAATTTTGGGACAAGTCATGCCCCGTTTGACTCACTTTCCATTAACTTCACTTTTACTGTGTTTAACTTCTTGTCATCTATGTAAGCTTCATAAATTCCTTCTTCAGCTTTGTTGGCCCTAGACAAGATCAGATCTTGGTTACTGTTCATCATGTTATTGTTATCCAGCACCACCGGGGAACCGTCCTTTTTCCATGTTACCTTCTTGCCATCCAAGGTGAAGGGGTAATAATGTGGCAGCGTTACCGACTGCCCCACCCCCACTGTAAAGAAAGCAGGACATTACATGACTGAAGACAAAGGCCGGGGAAAGTATTCAATGTTTTGTAATTGGATGTGGAATTTATTTCACTTATGTAACAAGACTTTTTTTATACGCTTCGCACTTCTGAAAATATAGAAAAAAAATACCACCCCACTTGTGAAATAAATTTCATATCCAACTACAAAACATTGAATATCATCTATGTAGCATCTGTATTCTATTTTGCAAATTAATAATTTACTATGTTTTCCTTAAATTAAGTTACCCTCAGTGTTGTAAAAATTCTTTATGGCATTCTGTTTTACATGTACTAATGTTAGGAACAAAACAAATATTCACCGTCTCTGTCCGTCACATTGCTCACTGCATTATTGTATTTCTCTTTAAGTTCTGCAATGCTTTCATGAGAGAGTTCACTAAAATAAAGAAACAATAATTTGGGTAAACATTTAGGCAAAGACATTGAAGTTATCAAATTTTAAGGAGAGAATATGTATGAAAATATTTTCATTCCTCCTTCCTCAATTTACCCATAGCCATTATTACCTGACCTTAAGGACATTGGCAAGTCAAGGTTATCTGGAGAAAAAAGGTTTATATCATGGGTTTATTCACTTATAAAACTGTAATTGAGAGTGATCTCCCGTGTAGAATTCTCTATGAAATGAAAGCCAACAAAGCGTATTTTACAGAGGTGAACAAAAGCTTCTTCAACGAGTAGAATCATCTTTACAGCAAGAAAGAAAAACGGTGATTGTTTTGTTGTACTTTGTCTTCAGGGACAGACAGTAAACAGTGGTCAATAGACCGTTATTTACCGTATACTCATAATGGGAAGGACAATCACAAGATATGACAAATGCCGAGAACCTGTAACTGAATGAGGTAGTGCGAAGGAGGCACCATTTACATGTAGTAACTGTAAACAAATATAAAACAAATCTATGCCAATATTTTATGAAAATTTGTTTCCAATATGGTAAATTACTTAACATAAACAGTCAAACAGTCTTTACCATTATGAATACGAATTAGATTCTAAGGGAAGTAACTCTAAAATAATGAACAGTGTTGCTAGATCTGTGTCATGTTTCTAAATTTGTGTTTTCAGTCATGATATTTAGATATGATTGGAAATGGGGATACAATAATGTATATAATATATTAACTTTCTGAAATGACTGGATTTTGGAAAATTTTTATGGTAAAAAATTAAGTACATCCTTTTTATCAACATTTTACATAGGAAATGCATTGAGAATTGTAAAAACATTGATTTGACAAAATTTAAGAAGGAAGGGTGGCTTGGTGGGTTAAATGTACCAGAATATAACATGTTTATTATAATTTCACCCGTTCAAGAGTTCTTGAAAAAATCTATACAAAAGCCAGGAACCTTGCCAATGTCCTTAAAATCAGGTCTTTTCAAAAATATTACAATTATCAGAACATGATTATTAAATATAATTTTAACATATCAGCATCCAGAGACTTGATTTCTGAATTACCTAGAGTTCAGATCAAAACATGTTTTAAGTCTGAATCTGTTTTGAAAAAAGATGCTAAGTCTGAACACAATACCGGTATCACACCTCTACTTGTGTGTCTGACAGACCTGTTTACCCATATCGTTGTCTCTCAGTATTTTTGATTGGATTTGTCCGTGAGATTTGGCATTTGCCAGTAAGATTTCACTTTCCATCAATTTAACATACTAGTATATAAATGGAGAACAACTGCTTGTCTGATTACTTAACATGGTTTAATAACATTGCCATGGTCACTTTATATCACGGCATTTTGGCAAACCGACATAACTGTGTTTGAAATCTTTTTTACGCGATTAAAAAGGGTGAAACTGAGACAGATCATAACAAAAACTAACTTCTAAATTCTAAACAATTATATATTTCTTATTCCCGTATTTTCATATAAGCAAAACGTGAGACGTTACTATTCTGGACAAAAAATCCATACAAAATACGGCGAAATCGTAAGAGTAAACAGGTCTGGTCTGACCACTTTTAAGATATTGATCACACATCAGTAATTTTAAATAAAAGTTCAAACAAGTCACGTTCACCTGAAGCATGGACAAAACATGGCAAATTGTTTAGTAAGCACTTGCTCTTTCGTTCCAGTGAATATGGTTTATTTTATAAAGAGTGTTGATTAAACCAAGCCAAAACATTAAAATATATTGTAAATATGAAAATGTTCATACTAAGGCAAAAAAAAATTAATTTCTTGGTTCTCAGGCCCTCCCTCATCTCTCCCAAGGGTGCCTCATTGACCCTTTTTATTGCTAAACCAATAAAATAAAAACACCAAATTACTTCCCTCATTATTTTTTGAGATTTTGTACAATGTAAAAAGCTGCCTCATCATGTTTTGGGGGCAATAAAAAGTAAAAAAAAAAATGCCTCCCTCCCTCATCATATTTCTTGAAACAAGAGGCCCACGGGCCTTATAGGTCACCTGAGTATCATGTAACAACTTTCCAGCGATGTATTTGGTTCGTGTTTTAATCTAAAAGCCATGAAATTCACAAATTTTGAAAGAGGCACCATTGCTTATCAAAGGGCAGATTTCAAAGCATTAATTTATTTTTAGTCAAAGTACCCCCATGGTACCCCTGACCCAGTGGCCCTGAATTTATCTATTTTGAAAGAGGCCCCTCTCTTCATTATAAGGCCAGCATTTTTTTTATGTTTAGGTTTAGTTATGAACATGAGAATAAAAAAGTCCCGAAGGAGAAGGAAATTAAAAAAAAAATTTTGATAAATCAATTGTACATTCTTTTTTTATGCTATCCTAATAGGCTCCTTACCACTGGACACATAATGCTTACAAATAGGAAAGTAGAACATTTAATTGCTTATTTCATCATCTGCCAGTTTGGGCCAGTTATATAAATTTTGTGATGTTAGTCAAAATATATTTTAAAAAATCAATTCTTTAAAAGTCTTTCAATATATCTTCATTTTTTTAATATGTGTTAGGTGAATGTGTAGACATTGTTCTAAAATTTACTCGATGCCTAAAATTATAATTCCTATCATAAAACAGACAGAGAGTATTGGGGAGTAGGGTGAACATTTTTTCAATTAAGTGTAAAATAATTTCTCTGGCTGATACAAATGATACTACATGCCTGTATATATTTGTATATTCTTGCCTTTTAATAGTTGAATTTTTTTTATTTCTTCAGGTTATTGTTCATTTCTTCCTCAAATGGACTTAACTTCTCCCATAGTTTTATTCATTACATCTGATGCATAAGCAACCCTTATCTGAAGAATGATGCTTAGACTGTAAGCTATAACAGATACCTAAAAAATGTCGCTGGCAATATGCAATAGCTACCACGGGCAGTTTAAAGCCTGGGGGAGGAAAATAATTTACAGCCAGATACTTTTGAAACGAATACATAATTATCTCACCAGCATGTCATTGTGCAACAAAGTCGTCAGCATTTTATTTGTCCTTTGAACGGGTGAAACGTTTTGAATGGCACTCGTATCGATGAATTTTACACTAAACCAAGCTATCTTCTCAGATCTAGCTTTATTTACCCACCGTTTCATCTTAAAACCGGAAGTGCGAGTTTGTAAATTTGAAATCTCGATCCCGACTCATATTTGACATCGGAAAGAAAAAAAATTGTTTTATTTCTTTCTGAAAATTCAAAACCTTGAGCGGAGGCTTTGTACAACTGAAAATAAAATAAATCCTGGCCTTAAATATGTAATTAGATCATTAGCATATTAACCAGGAGCAAAGGAAAAGATGTTAAAAAAATTCATGCAATTCACTGTATAATCATTAGAGCCCCACCCTAAAACAAGAACCCCTGACCCTGGGACCATAAAATTCACAATTTTGGTAGAGGCACTCTTGCTCATCATAACTATGTACTTAGTTAGTTTAATTAATACCCAGGAGCAGAGAAGAAGATTTTCAAAGAAATAATGTATTTTCACTATATAATCAATAGAGCCCCACCCTAACACCAGAACCCCTGACCCTGGGGCCATAAAATTCACAATTTTGGTAGAGGCACTCTTGCTCATCATAACTATGTACTTTGTTGGTTTATTTAATACCCAGGAGCAGAGAAGAAGATTTTCAAAGAGAAATAATGCATTTTCACTACCTACTTATTTAGCCCCGCCCTAGCACTAGAACCCCTGACCCCAGGGCCATGAATTTCAAAATTTTGGTAGAGAACTCATTGCTGATTACAATCAAGCAAACAGTTCGATTGCTTGATGTCCAGGAGTAAAGAAGATTTTTAAAGATTGCATTAATTGTAGTGGTTTTGGCCCCACCCCTCAGGCCCCAGGGGGGCAGGGATCATGAAATTCACAATTTTTGTTCCCCTTCACCCATAGATGCTTTGTGCCAAATTTGGTTGAAATTGGTTCAGTGGTTGCAGAGAAAAGAAGCTGAAAATGTTCAAATGTTAACGCACGACGAACGACGACGGACAAAAACAGATAGCAATAGGTCACCTGAGTTTACTCAGGTGACCTAAAAAGGCTTGAGAACCAAGGAATTAACTTTGCATGGCCTAAACAGTGTAACACCTCTCCCTATAATACCGTATAAGTGGAAATGTTAGCGAGATGCAAATTTAGCGATTTCTCCTTAACAAGAGGCCCATGGGCCTTATAGGTCACCTGAGCATTATTCAACAACTTTCCAGTGATTGAATTTGATCCATGTTTGAAGCCAGATGCTATAGCATTTACAATTTGGTCATCATAACTATACACTTAGCAGTTCCTTAGTTTGGTTACTTTATACCCATAGGCAGGATAGGGGAACAAAAATGCATTTCAACTAATCAGTAATATTCAGCAATAATCAGTATAAGTGCTGCTACCACACATGAACCCTTGACTCTTAGGCCTATATCCTCACATTGCACTATTTTTGGAAAGGCATCCTTGCTTTTCAAAAATATTTGATTAATACCAAGGAGCACATTTCAAACCATTCATTTTCAGTATATAAGTACAGCCCCCCCCCCCCCCCTATGGTACAACTGACCCTGGGGCCTTTAAATTTTCAATTCTTGAAGATTAGGGATTACTCATAACTATATAGGTAGTTCATCTGCTTAAAACCTAGGAGCAAAGAAGAAAATATTCAAAGATTTAATGTTTTTTCAATGTACATGTATAATCAATACAGCTCCGTCCTAACACCAGAATCCTTGACCCTGGGGCCATAAAATTCACAATTTTGGTAGAGGCACTCTTGCTCATCATAACTATGTACTTAGTTAGTTTATTCAAAATCTAGGAGCAGAGAAGAAGATTTTCAAAGAATTCAGGTATTTTCACTATATAATCAAAAGAGCCCCACCCTAACACCAGAACCCCTGACCCTGGGGCCATAAAATTCACAATTTTGGTAGAGGCACTCTTGCTCATCATAACTATGTACTTAGTTAGTTTATATAAAACCTAGGAACAGAGAAGAA